CCCATCGTTCCATATGCATTTGCACCGTCTGCTCTTACAGCAGTAATTTGTGCATATCGTTTACCCATTGAAGTGAGAGCACTGCACTTCAAAGACTTAGTAAGAGAATAGAATGTTAAAATGACTAATTAAATATTTGTTAGTATGATTACACATTGAAATGGTAAAACATTGCATTTCAGACACTTAGTAAGAAAAAATATAATATTAATTAATAACTTTTTCTAATCGTTTACATGCTGAAATGCCAAAAGACTGAATATCAATGAATCAGTAACAAAAACGAATGAAAAGTAATTAAAAATTAATGTATAGTGTTCCCATGTTGAAATGAAATCAGACTACATTTTAAAGACTTAGTAAGAAAGAAGTTGTAAAAGTAGTTAATGTGTTTATACTGTTTCCATGTTAAAATGATAACATACCGCTTTTCAGACTCAGTAAAAAAATAATTAAAATTAAATAAATTTTGTTCTTATTGCTTATATGTTGGAATAACATACTGTATTACAAAGACCTAGAGAAAAGAATGTAAAAAATAATAATTAATAAAAATAGTTAATAATGTTTTCATTGCTTCCATTGTGTAATGACAATATACTGCATTTCCAACTTAGAAAGAAAAACATGTTAAAATAACCAAAACAGAATTTGTATGTGTTGTTTTCTTGGTGGAATAACAGATGTGGTTTTAGTTTGCATTTCCCTGATGGCTAATGATGGTGATCATTTTTCAGGTACCCGTTGGCAATTTGTATGTCTTCCTTTGAAAAATGTCTACTCAGCTCCCTTGCCCATTTTTAAAATGGGTTATTTGGTTTTCTACTGTGTAATTGCTTGAGTTCCTTGTAAATTCTGGATATTAATCTCTTGTTGGATGTATAGTTGGCAAAAATTTTCTCCCACTTCGTAGATTTTTGTTTCACTCTGTTGCTTGTTTCCTTTGCTGTGAAGAAGCTTTTTAGTTTGATATAGTCCCATTTGTTTATTTTTTCTTTTGTTGCTTTTGCTTTTAGGCTCATGTTCATAAAGTCTGTGCCCAGACCTAGTTCCTGAAGAGTTTCCCCTATATTTTGCCTTAGTAGTTTTACAGTTTCTGGTCTTACACTTAAGTCTTTAATCCATTTTGAACTGATTTTAGTATATGGTGAGAGGTACAGGTCCAGGTTCATTTTTCTAAATATGGATGTCCAATTTTCCCAGCACCATTTATTGAAGAGTCGGTCTTTTCCCGAATGTGTGTTCTTGCTGCCTTTGTCAAAGATCAGTTGGCTGTAAGTATACGGGTTGATTGCCGGGTTTTTTATTCTCTTCTATTGATGCAAGAGTCTGTTTTTATGCCAGTACCATACTGTTTTACTTACAATAGCTTTGTAGTATAATTTGAAGTCTGGTAGTGTTGTGCCTCCAGCTTTATTATTATTATTATTTTGCTCAGGATTGCTTTGGCTATTTGGGGTCTTTTGTTGTTCCATATGAATGCTTGGATTGCTTTTTCTATTTCTGTGAAGAATGTCTTTGGTATTTTGATGGGGATTGCATTGAATCTGTAGATTGCTTTGGGTAGAATGGACATTTTTGTGTTGAGAACTCTTCCCATCAAAGAGCATGAAATGTCTTTCCATCTTTTTGTGTCTTCTTTATTTCTTTCATTAGTGTTTTGTAGTTGTCATGTACAGATATTTCATCCTTGGTTAAATTCATTCCTAGGTGTTTTATTTTTTTTCTGTGCCTGTTCTAAATGGGCTTATTTTCTTGTTTTCTCTTTCTGTTACCTCATTATTGGAGAATATAAATGCAACTGATTTGGGGAAATTTATTTTGTATACTGCAACATTACAGAAATTATTTACCAGCTCTAAGAGTTTTTTGAGAGAGTTTTTAGGCTGTTCGATATATAGGATCATGTCATCTGCAAATAGGGAAAGGTTGACTTTATCTTTTACAATCTGGATGCCCTTTATTTCTTTCTCTTGCCTGATTGTCCTGGCTAATACCTCTAGTACTGTGCTAAACAGAAGTGATGAGAGTGGACATCCTGTCTTGTTGCTGTTCTTAAAGCAAGAGACTTCAGTTTTCCCCCATTCAGAATGATATTGGCAGTGGGCTTGTCATAGATGGCTGTTACTGTCTTGAGATGCTTTCCTTCTATACCTAATTTGTTGGGAGTCTTTACCATGAATGCATGTTGAATTTTGTCAAATCCTTTTTCAGCATCTATTGAGGTAATCATATGGTTTTTGTCCTTGATTTTGTTGATGTGTTGTATCACATTTATTAACTTTTGTATTTGAGCCATACTTGCATCACTTGGATGAATCCCACTCGATAATGGTATACAATTTTTTTGGTGTGTTGCTGTATTCTGATTACAAATATTTTGTTGAGGATTTTTGCATCTATGTTCATCAAGAATATTGGCCTATAATTTTCTTTTTTTGTTGTGTCATTATCTGGTTTTGGTATCAGCGTTATTCTGGCCTCATAGAATGAGTTAGGGAGAATGGCTTCTGTTTCAATTTTATGGAATAGTTTGGAAATAATTGGCATTAATTCCTCTTTAAAGGTTGGGTAGAATTCAGCAAGGAAGCCACCAGCCCTTGACTTTTATTTGTTGGAAGATTTCTGATTACTTCTTCAATCTCGTTGTTTGTTATTGGTCTGCTCAGGTTCTCTATGTCTTCTTGGTTTGGTCTTGGGATTTTGTATGTGTCCAGAAATTTATCCATTTCCTCCAGGTTTTCATATTTATTGGTGTACAATGGTTTATAATAATCTCTAATGATTCTTCATATTTCTGTGGTATTGGTTGCAATGTCTTCCTTTTCATTTGTAGTTTTTATTATTTGTATCTTGTCTTTTTTGTTTTGTTTTGTTTTATCCTAACTAATGGTTTGTTTATTTTATTTATCTCCTCCAAAAAAACAACTTTTTGTTTCACTCATCTTTTGTATCATTTTTTGGATCTCAATTTCATTTAGTTCTATTCTGCTCTTCATTATTTATTTCCATCTACTATCTTTAGGATTTGATTGTTGTTGTTTTCTAGTTCTTTGATTCATAACATTAGGTCATTTCTTTGAAGTCTTTCTGTCCTTGTGATGTAAGCATGTATTGCAATAAACTTCCCTATTAGTATTGCTTTTGCAGTATCCCACAGGTTTTGGTATGATGTATCCTTATTTTTATTAGTTTCAAGTATTTTTTTTTATTTCCTGTTTAATTTATTCTTGGACCCATAGGTCATTCAGGAGCCTATTGTGCAGTTTCCATGTATTTGTATAGTTTCCAGTGTTTTGCTTGTTATTAATTTCCATTTTTAGTGTCTTGCAGTCTGAAAAGATACTTGGAGTGATTTCAGTTTTTAAAATTTGCTGAGACTAGATTTGTGACCTAATATGTGTTCTATCCTGG